CTCTCCTAATCCTTAAGGGGTGTACATCTGACAGTGGTCCCTCTAATTTTTCCCATGCATGTGCAGAATGAATTTTGTTGTGTGTGCCGGGTTGGAAATGTGTGCATCCATATTGGTGCACATAACAAAATTAATGTGGTGGGGCTAGGGCCAAGGGATTTGGAGTGTAGAAAGGGGACTCAGAGCTGGGGTGCAGGAGCGTGAGGGCTCTGGCTGGAGGTGAGTGTTCTGGGCTGGGGCCAGGGATGCAAGGTTTGAGGTGCAGGCCGCCCTGGGGCTGTCTCAGGGAGAAAGGACTCCCTCCAGCCACACCTGCAGGACAGGTGCCTCTCCCCAGCTGCAGCAGGGTGAGGGCTGGGGCAGAAGTGCCTCTCCCCAGCCACATAAGGTCTGGGCTTGGGGCCAGAGGAGAGGCCTTTATAGTCTACTGCGTAGCTGCACAGCTTAGAGGGAACTTAGATGTTGGGTGCTGGCTGACATGCTGCTTGCAGGCGTGTAAGTATGAGTCTGACAGCAGTGCAGACTGGTGAGTGCCTAGCATCCCCGTCAGCCCCATCTTCCACTCACTGGCCGTATTTCCCCAAAGTCAGTAACCCTTCTAAACCCATCTCCAAGTGGAGATGGGCCTGTCATTCCTTGATCCTAATTGTAAAGGGCTCCATAGCTCTCCCTAACACTGTCTGTGTCCCGGAGGATTCGAACGTCCACTCTGTCAGCAGTACAGCAGTGTTCCTCCAGCTCCGTCTCTAGGCTGCCCCGACAGGCCTGTATCTCCGCAGTTCTCAAGGGGAGCTGTGGCGGGGCAAGGGCAGTACTGGGGTGGGAAGCAGCAAAAGAAACCAGGTGCTGCAGGCTCTATAAATGGCGATTGCCTCACTTAGCTGGCAGAGCTGCAAGAGGTGGCTAGGAGGGGCGCTCTGCTCTCTTTGGGACCTGATTCTTTGGTGGTTGGAGGTCCTGGCTCTCGTCCACAGCAGGAGGGGTATTAACTGGATTTTCTGGACGAGTTGCAGCTCTGATCATTGCGCTGACTTAAACTTCCTGTAGGGTTGGCATTCGCTGCACTCGGTGTAATTGGGGCATGCTGCACTGTGCATCGGTGCTGCCTGCTCGTTGGTGAGGGGAGGAAAGCTTGTGTATGTGTGAAACTTGGCGGTTGCTCTGGCACTTCTGGAACAGGAGCCACCAGGGAGCAAGGGTCAGTTTGACGTCAGGGGATCTCGAGGGTAAAGTGAGCTGAGGGCGGGGATTGGCGTGCACTGGGAACAGAAGGAGCTTGTTTGCACTAGTGCTGTCAGGGTAAGGGGCCACTCATGCAGATCTTCTCCTCCACGCCCAGTCCTGCGCAGTGAGGTGGCTGTTTGTTCTGCATGGATGGCCCAGAGTGTTCTCTTGCTGTCTCCCCTCTAACATCTGCTGAGCCCGGCCTCGTTGCATAACTGGCTCGTTGGCTCTGCCGCTTGCAGCGTGTCACTTACCAACACGCTGGGTGATGAACACCAGTGAGGTGGCATCACGGAGACCTGGTCTGCATGGAGGCGTCTCGCTGTGGGTTAGCTGCATTGCTGCAGTTCCTGTGGTGCCTGCCCCTTCCAGTGGGGCAGGGACATGTGGTGTAACAGCCGTTAGTTGCCCAGATAAGGGGTTTGCTGTGCCCCGTCTTTGGCAGGCTTGTGTGGGAAGAGAAGAACTGGCAGGCTGCCAAAGGCTGGCTAGCACGGCTCGCTGAGCACTCGCTCTGTCACTAGGGCTTGGCTCTAGAGTCATGCAGGGAAGGGGACCAGGCAGTTTAGTGCCCAGACCAAGCAGTCCTGCCTGGCGTTCCTCTCGCCCCTTGCCTCGGTGTGTCTCAGGAAATCTTCACGTTATGCTCTCTGCTTACTCCTTGGGCCTTGCCCCCTGCGCGGTTACTGCTCCTTGGCTAATGTCTAGGGTGGTTGCGAGATGACACACCTGAGGAACAGCCCGCAGTGCTGCAGCTGGGCGCTTTTTGGCAACGGTTTCCTGTCTTTTGTCTGTGTGCCATTGCGGGCACATTGGCTACTCTGTCTCCACTAGGGATGTTAATTAACCTCATGAATTCTTATCAGTTACTCGACTATTCTATGGTTCCTGGGGGTGGGGCCGGCAGCCAGTGCACTCCGGTCCTACTCCTGAGGACCCCCTGCCATTCTGCGCTGCTGCCTCTGTATCAGGGTGCCAGGTGGGAGCTGATCTGCAAGGGGAGCCAGTTGAAGAACCAGCTCCACTCACGGACTGACTGCCTGTCGCCCTGCGCTGCTGCGTCTGATACAAAGGCAGCAGCCCAGGGTGGCAGCAGCCCTTGTTTGGGTGCAGGGGCTGAGCTCCCAGACCTGGCACAAGCTGGAACTGAGCCAGGCTGCCTGCCTGCCTGCCTGCCTGCCGGGCTCCTGGTACCCTTTAAATGCAGAGCCGGGCCCGGCAGGTGTAGGTCCCGGACCCATCACAAGCCGGGACTAAGCTGGGCTGCTCGCCTGCCTGCTAAAAGATGTACTGGCAAGGGGAGGGGGAATGCATGTCGTCTGTAGCACTAACCTATCAGCTTTTGCTAATCAGTTATCGACTACACTATTACATCCCTCGTCTGCAGCTGGTCTTTGGCCATGGAATTCGAACTGGATTTGATCAGTTGCCTTCCTCAAGGCTCTGTCCCTTCTGACCGAGGTGGGGTCCCTCTGGCCTTTCCAGCTCCAAGTTAACTGCTGGGGACTGATCCCCTCCCCTCCCCTTGGTATCTGCCTTGTTCAGGAGCAACTCCCGTTTGTCCTAACTGGCTGAACTTCTGTAGGGGCTGTCTTATTTGACCTCCCTTCTTCCTCCATGCCCCAGTCTGAGGACATCTGGGCCCAGCTCAGGGCCTCCTTTAGCACGTGTTTACAGCTGCTGTTTGTGCTTGGGAAGGCTGGGTGCGCCTTGATGGTGAGCATTGGAACAAAATTGGTGTAGCCTCATAATGCCAGACTCTGTCCCCCCTCCTCCAACACCTTCCTCTTCAGCCCAAGTTCCAGGGGTCACAGTCAGCTGTTAGGGGCAGGGATCAGGAACACCTGATATTCCCCTGGTGCAGAGTGAGGTGGGGGCTCCCTAGTGACAGAGCTGGTGTTTGGTTCTGACCTCACCGGTCTCACAGCCTTGGCTGCAGGTGGCATGATGAGGGTGCGGAGGGGCAGTGGCTGTTGCAGGCTGCGCTTCAGCTATCCCCAAGGAGACTGATGCCAGCTAGTGTGAGTTAGGGTAGTCCCCTCCTCCCGCACTGCTCTGCCCAGGGCTGGGGCAGAGAATCAGGAACTGCTGGTTGCTCTCACTTCTCCTGGGGACTGTGTGGGGGCCAGGAGCCATCTGGTGCTGGATGCTGCCCTAGGCTCAGGCAGAGCCAGTCAAGCCTCTAGGCTCCCAGCCCAGCTCGGAAGCAGCTGACCAAGCAGCCAGAGCTCCTCTCCCCCTGCAGTGCATCAGGCAGCCAGTAGGGGCGCTGCGGAGCAGGTGCTCGTGGCCTGTGGCAGAGGTGCTGGCCCTCTGCCCCCTCCCCACAGCTGTAGAGTAATTAAACTTCAGAAGACACAGGAATCCGAGCAGCGCTCGGCAGCCGTCCTTGTGCCCCGTCTCCCTGGAGATTGGAGTCCGGACGCCATGCAGTGCCGTCTTGTCTGGAATGTGCTGAGTCCTGGTGGAGTCTCATCAGCCGGCTGCCTGCTGCTCTTCCAGGGAGGCTCTGCTGGGCGTGCTGGCATGCCAAGCCCCTCCTGCTGCTGCAGCTGGAAGGTACTTTCTCCAGTCTGACCTTGCTGGGAAGAGGCAGGTGCCCCTGGGGTGTGGTGCTGACTCAGGTGAAGAGGAGGAAGGGGCGGGGGGAGCCTGTCACGTGCTCTGACAGGTGAGCAGCAGGGCAGGGATTTCTGCCCCTCCCTGGGAATGGCTCTGGTCTCTGCTGCTTGGAGCACAGGTAATTGATCAGACTCTTCATGCTTCCTCTGCTGTTCTGGACAGTGTCAGGGAAACTGACCAGAGGTGCCTGTGAGTGTGTCAGACCAGACCTGCACAGGTCTCCCTACAGCCTAGCCAGCAGTCTGGCCTGTCCAGGAAGCAGCCAGGACAGCCTTCTCGTGGGGACTCTGGCTAGCTCCAGGCAAGGGCATTTATGGCTCTGACTGTGGAGGGTTTGGCACTCCCCTCTTGCTGGCAGAACTGTTGGGACAGACCTGTGGTGCTCTGCTTCGGGGGCAGGGAGGGCGCTTCTCACCTTGGAGAAGACAGGTATGGTTTAGTGGGTGTTACCCTGGGGCTCTGTAGTTAATATGTCCATGGGTGGGTCCTTTTCCAGCCTTGGCTGTGGGTCCTGCCTGTGACTGGGCAGTTGAGTGCCCGGGCAGAGGAGGGTCCTGCACTGAAGTCCCTGGCAAATTGTGCTATGGGATCTGAGCTCCTGTGGGTGGGAAGATACCTCCTGGTCTTTGGAGCAGGGTGGCTGTCCCCATGTCCAGGCAGGGCCTGTGAAGGGGGGAGTCCCAGATGACTGGGTCACTGCAGTGCACTGCATGCGAGCCCCTGCGGCCAGAGCCATGCATGGCAAACGGTTGGGCAAGGGGTGCTCCTTGCAGGGGCAGTGGAGGTGATGCTGCATTTGGATGAGGTTTGGAGGTTGGGTTTGACCCAGAGTCTCCTTGGGGTTCTGGGGCCTGGCTTGCTCTTCAGGGGCACCATGACAGGTGAGGAGCCCCTGGTCAGGAAGAGGAAGCAGGAGGCCCAGAGAGCATCTGTGGGTTGCATGCCCTGCTCCAATTTGCCGTTTGCCCTTTAGATAGTGCTGAGAAGCTAGGAGGGTCTGCAGGCAAGTCAGGTCACTCTAGGGCACCTTAAACGGGGAGCAAAGTCACAGCACCTGTCCTGGCCATTGTGTCAGCTGGCAGCGTCCCGGGCTGAGCCGGGATAGGGATTGCAGCTCGGTTGCCTTGTTCCCAAGATTCCTTGCTCTCTTCCAGATGAAGATCTCTTTCAACGAGACAAGCCTGCAGACCATGTTTGAGTACCCCTCCGAGAGCTCGCTGGTGGAGGAGGGGGAGGAAGAGTCTGTCTCAGAAGGGGAGGAAGACGATGATGAGGACAAGCCCTTTTCCCTGTACATTCCACGCCCAACCAGCACCATGGTCGCTAACGTGCCCAGCTCAGGTGAGCCAGGCAATGTGACGCCAGCCTGCTCCTGGCCTGCCCTGCAGACAGGCTGAGCTGGCACCTACTGGGTTTAGGCAGCATCCACGGGGCGTGGGCCGGCAGCAGCCAGCCCAGCAGGACACCCCCACTCCCAGACCAAGGGAGATCTGGTGAACAGCAACAGGCAAATGGATGCTTGGCTCCTGACTTCCCTGTGCACTGCATGGCGGAAGTGGGTGTTAAGGAATGTAATCAGACAGAGCCCGAATGGGGGAGGGGAGTTCCACGTGCGTCCCACTGAGATGCCCACACAATAGACTGTGGTGTCTTTGCCCTGTT